TAATCACTATTCATGTAGGCAGTCAAGACATCCTTCTGGTATAAAATGCCAAGTCCAATAGTTCCCTTCACATACCTTAGGACCTTTTTGCAGTCATAAGATGGAGATTTGTAGGTTGAGACATGTACTTGCTAATTAAGCTAACTACATACATCAAATTTGGACGAGTTGATGTTAGGTACAATAAACTTCCGACCATTTGCTTGTAAATAGTGCTATCAACTACAACCCCATTTTCATCTTTCAAAATTTTGAAACTAGGGACTATAGGATTCAACACAGCATTGCATTCCTCCATCCGAAATCTTTTAAGCACATTATTTGCATATTTCTTTTGACTAATAAAGATTTCATTCTCCAACTGCTCCACCTCTATGCTAAGAAAATACCTCATCTTTCCTAAGTTTGATATATCAAATTCTTTCATCATTGACTCCTTGAACTCCCTTGTCATTGCATGATCATTAGCAGTGTATATTAAATCATCAACATATAAACTTACAATCAAGAGTTTACCTCTAATATTGGTTTTCACAAAGAGCGTCTACTCACTAGAACACTTTTCAAATCCTTCTTTTAAGAAGTAAGCTTCAATGCGATTGAACCAAGCCCGTGAAGCTTGTTTCAGTTCATATAAAGCTTTTTTCAATTTATATATACCTTGTTGAACTCCTCTTTCTTCTCAAAACCATTAGGCTGGTCAACATACACATCTTCCATTAACTCTCCATGTAAAAATGTTGATTTCACCTCTAGCTAATATACTTTCCATCCTTTGTGAGCAGCTAAAGCAAGAATGATTCTGACTGTATTCATGCGAGCCACTGGTGCAAAAACTTCAGCATAGTCAATCCCGTACTCTTGCACACACCTTTTTGCAACTAACCGAGTCTTAAACTTCTCTACTTCACCATGTTCATTTAGCTTTGTTTTATATATTCATTTGACTCCAATTCGCTTTGCTTCTACAGGTAAGTCAGTAAGGAACCATGTACCATTCTTCTGTATGCTTTCAATCTCAACCTCCGTTGCTTTTCTCCAATTTTCATTCTTCACAGCTTCCTCATAAATCATGGGTCTGCACTTGTGAAAAATGCAAAATTCGCATATGTGGCTTCCTCACTTTCACTCCTCGACAGGCCTTTTCCGCTCACATATTCACTCATCCATGGTGGTAAGTTTCTTTTACGTGCTTCTAAGTTCAAATTGGGAGTCAAAGGAGATCTGGAACTTGAAGAAGTTATTGCTGCATCATTTGTCACATTTTCTTCTTCTATTCCAAAATCGTTGCATTCATCTTCGATTAGTTCATGCTCACTTTCTCCCCATTCAAACTCGTCAAGCATTTATTATTTTTTGTCCCAATCCCACTTTTTTCTTTTCTTCAAACACTACATCTCAATTGATTACTATCCTTTTTGTCATAAGATCATATATTTTATAACCTTTCGACTTATCACTCACTCCCAAAAAGACACCACTAAAACTTTTGTCCTCTAATTTAGTTCTTCTTGAATCCAGCACATGTATGTGACACACATATCCAAAAACCTTAAGATGCTCAATTGATGGTTTGACTCAACTTCATACTTCTTCTGGTGTTGTATCCTTTAAAGTTGCAATAGGACACCGATTGAGCACAAAAACTGCCCACTTTACTGCTTAAGGCCAGAAAAGTTTAGGAACTTCTTTCTTTGACAACATGCTTCTCACTGAATTCATCATCGTGCAATTCTTCCTTTCGGTAACTCTGTTTTGTTGTGGTGTATATACCGTTGTTAGTTTCCTTTCAATTCCACTTTCTTGGCAAAAATTGTTGAACTCTATAAACGTGAACTCTCTTCCTCGATCTGTTTGTAAACACTTGATTGCAAGACTAGTTTCTTTTTCAACGGATGTCTTAAAAGACTTGAAAATAGCAAACATTTCTGATTTCAGACTTAAAAAATATGACCAGGTTTTTTCACTATAATCATCAATCAAGCATAACATATACCTTTTTCTACTATTTGAGATAGGAGAAATTCGACCACACAAATCAGCATGAATAAGTTCTAACCTCTGAGTTGCTCTCCATGTGCTTCTTTTTGGAATAGGCTCTCAATGTTGTTTTCCTTTCAAGCAATCAACACACACTTCACTCGAGATTACTAGCTCAAGTACCCATGGACCATCTTTTTTTTGCTGCAAGGTTTGAAGAGTCGTGTTACTAATATGGGTGAGCCTACAATGCCACAAGTGAGTGAGGTCTTTAGTTGCTATGTTGAAGCACACTACTTGCTTTGGTTAGGAAGAGAATGACAACGTCTTAGCCACCAAGATGAACATTCGATTAGCTGTCATTTCAATTTGAATGATCAAACCTTTGTGTGGATGATATATTTTATACTTGCCAGATCCTATAAGAATATTGAGACCTTTCTCATGGAGTTGCCCTATGCTTGGAAGATTGTTTCTAAGCTCAGGTACACAGTAAACATCACCAACAATACAATTGACACCATCAACCTCTATTTTGACACTCCCTTTCCTTGAAACTTGCATCCTTGTGTTGTTTTCAAGCTTCACCATTGTCTGAAAGGCTTCATCTAACTCAGCAAACAAGGCTTTGTTGCCACACATATGATTGCTGCAACCTGAATCCAAGAACCAAATGTCTTCTCTTTTCCTGCCAATTTCATCGACATAGGCCATCAATAACATCTTGTCAATCTCATCTAACTCAGCATAGTTGGCTTGTTTTCCCTTTGTAGGGCATTCATACTGGAAATGATCGAGTTCGTGGCAACGGTAACATTCCACAGTAGCTTTGTTAAAAGAAAACTGTCCTCTTCCGTGACCTTGACCTCTAAAGTTTCCTCTTGTACTTGTACCTCTGCCTCTACTAGCCTAAACTGTTACCTTTAAAGCTTGCTCTTCACTAAGATTCTTCTTTTAGAATTTTTGTTCATGGACTAAGAGAGAACTTCGCAATTGATTTACTGAGAGATTTTTGATGTCTTTCGATTCCTCAATAGCACAGACAACGAAGTTTCAATTCTTGGGAAGAGTACGTAATATCTTTTCTACGATTTTTGCATCTTCCATGCTTTCTCTGAGATTGCTCATTATCATTAGAAACTAACACCACTCTTGAAAAACAGTCCATAATTGACTCATCAACCTTCATCTCAAGAATCTAAAATTCCCTCCGAAGAGCCTGCAATTGTGCATTACGCACCTTTTCATCACCTTAGAACCTTGTCTTCATAGAGTCCCAAATTTGTTTAGTCATGTCCTTTTGGGTGATGGTCTTCAAGGTCGTCTTGTCAATAGCCTGAAAAAGGTAATTTTTTACCTTCAAATCTTTCAACTTCATATCTGTTAGCTCTGTTCTCTGAGGACCAGTCAGGATGTTGCCTCTCCCTGGTTCAATGTAGCCGGTATCTACCAAATGCCACTACTCCTTGGAACGTAGCAAGTTTTCCATGAGCATAGACTAGTGCTCATAATCCCCATCAAACTTAGGAATTGTCAACATACTCTACCCTTCAGCTGCCATCGTTCCTTACATGTGTTTCTCTCACTAACTCTCTATCAAGCCCTTTTTGCAAGGGAGCTCTGATACCAGATTGTAAAGAGCTTCGAAGAATAATAAACAAAAACAAGTGAAACTAAAATGCTTTTTATTAGACTTCAAATAGGGCTATTTATAAGCCTTTACAAAATAGAATAAAAAATCCTTCTCGCCCACGTAGACCACTATCTACATGATAAATCTAAACAGAACTAAAGAAACTACCTGCATTATCCTTAGAAATAGGCAATTTATTAACAGAATCTAAACAAACACCTAATTTAATGGAATTAAATCTTATAAAAAAAAACTACTAAAATATGATATTTTGAAATAAAATTAAAAATATCTTTCAAAATAATTATCATTAAAGAATTTTGATATTTTATAATTGTTTGTTATTCTACGTCTGAATTTATGTATTTTTACTAAAAATTGTCATTAATAATTTTTAAACACTATATTTTTATAAATTTTTTAAAATATTATATTTTCATATTTTAAAATATTAAATATAAAAATAATTCATGAATTTTATTTATTTAATAAAATACTTTCTCAAATTATGAAATACTCTTAAAAAAATAATATTTTTAAGTAGACTTTATGTTAACTTTTTTCTCTCTCTTTTTAAAAATATATTGTTAAAATTTCTTAATATAACTCTTGTTAGACATCATCTAAATTTCTCCAAACATAATAGAACATAAGTCAGAAGTATTTAATTTTTAAATTAAAAATAAAAATAAAAATCAATGTAATATTATTTGCAAAATTAAGCAAAAATTACATGTATATTATTATTATTATTATTATTATTCAATTTTGGATGACAAAATTTTATTTTACTTTTTAATGATTAAATACAAACTAGGATATCTCTCTCTATTTATCTACCCATGAAACTAAATTACCACGTATTTTTATATAAGTATTTACTAATATTGTTCTTCATCAATTCTTTTATCTAAATTATGTCTTATAAATTTATTTATTTTATAAGTATTAGCTATGAATTGAAATTCATTTATATATCATATATTTTGTTATCTAAATTTTATATTACATATTTGAAAAGATATTATAAAGAATGCGTAAGATAAATAACATAAAATATTTATTGCTATCTATCCAAAAAAGTATTTATTGCTATATAATAAAGCAAAACTAAAAAGTCAACCTAATATAAATTAACAACATATGTGGCATAGATTAATTTAAAGTTAAAAAAGTGATTAAAAAACTGTTTTAATATTTTTAATTTCCATAAAAACTTTAATTTTAATTAAAAAAACTGTAATGTATTTTTCCACGTGTATAAAAAATAATTTTTGCCTACTTAATTTGATTAAGTAAAGAAACCGTAAAATTAAATAAGGTATTATCTCTTAAAATTTCAAAGTCAATCCAGTGTTATCTCTATCTTTTTTTGTTCAACAGCCTTATGTTTATTTGTGCAGCACTTCTTTAAAAGATTTGCGTAGTCACTTAATACGTCAACCGCCATTGCTCTGCCATAAACCCTAAACCCGAAGAAGCCGTTATTCGTTCTGCTGCGTCTTCACCACACCCACACCGGCGGAGGGCGACGTCGCTGTGATGGACTCAACGGAGTTAAAGGTAGCGGAGCTGTTGAAGGAGGTCCACGTGGACTACTCACATCAGTTTTCTAAGCTCGTCGACGACACCGTCTCCGCCATTAAAGCATCCATCGATAAAATCCCCGACGATTTTAAGGTCCTTCTTCTCTCCGTCTTTACCTCTTCTTCGATTCTCCGTGCATTCAATACTCATCCTTCTCAATGCACGTGAATTTTCAGGTAACTGCTGATTTAGCATCGCGTTTTGTTACGGACATTGGTACTGATAAGGTGGAGTTCAAGTTTAAGAAGCCAACGTTTGTTAAGATCGGAGGCAGTTACTCTATACAGAGCCTTGCGAGGCCTGAAATTAATGTCGATCTCATTATACGGTTACCGAAGGTACTCATCGGAAAAAGAAGGATAATTATACTTATGTATATTAATTAAATAGTGTTTAATCTAATTTATCAACGTGAGGTGCATGGTTCGATCGTTGTAACTGTTTTTACCTCTTTTTTTCCTGTTTTGTTAGGAGTGCTTCCACGAGAAGGATTATTTGAATTATAGATACCATGCTAAGAGGTGTCTTTATCTCTGCTTGATGAAGAAGTACTTGGAGACTTCTCCATCTATTGATAGGGTTGAATGGTCCACTCTACAGAATGAAGCCAGAAAACCCTTACTCATTGCGTATCCAGGTTTTTACTTCGTGTTAGCTTAGCAATTAAATTTTAAGGCGTTTTATTTAAAAGTGATATTGGCGCAACTGACAAGGAAAATGATTGCAGCTGCAAAGCTTGTTGATGTTCCTGGTTTTTTTGTGAGAATTATTCCGTCGGCTATGTCTATATTTAGCATAAAAAAGTTGAACCTGAAGCGCAACAACATTCACAATCTGAATCATGGTTTGTGCCTTAAGCTTTTTATTTTGTTTTTTCCGATTTGATACAGATTGTTGATGATTGACTGTTAATATTCTGAAGGGACTGCCCTTCAGGCTACACCGAAGTACAATTCTAGTATTCTGGAAGACATGTTTATAGAGGATACAGAATTCATCAACAAATATTTTCTTGGATGGAAGGAACTAAGAGAAGCATTAATCCTTCTGAAGGTTTGATATTTGAATATTTTTTGGGCATCTATGAATAGTGTTCAATAAATAAAAATGTACTAGGGATTACTGAAGTCAGCGTTTGTCTTCATTGTTTTAGGTTTGGGCTCGACAAAGAACTTCGATATATGTTCATGATTGCCTGAATGGATATTTGATATCTGTCATACTGGCATATCTTGCTTCTAAGCAGAAAATTAGCAATTCAATGAAGGCAACTGAAATTATTCGTGTTACCTTGAACTTCATTGGTACGCATATAGACTCTCCTTTGCAGTTCAGTTCATTACTTCATTTTGTTCAGCTCACCCTATCATGTTAGTGTACCACAATTTGGTCTGATATGAGAATGACGCGGTTCATATTGGCAAATTATGGTTGTCAATGTATATACATACACAGTATTAGTTCTTGTGTAATATGTTGTGCTTGTGATGCAGTGATGCACATCCTTTTTTCATAAAAAAATGCTAGGGAAAACATTTTTTAGCTTCCTTTTATACTTGATTATTTTGATGATTAATACAGTGTTTGCCATTCTTTTGTATTCTCAATGCATTATCACTGTTTTTCTTCTGTAATATCTTCAATTTATTAGTTCTGTAATTGAACCAATGCCTTTTCTTTTTCATCCAAAGGAATTGCAAAAGAAAGAACGATCTTTTCTGCCATGTGCAGTTTCTTAGTGAAATTGTAGGCAATTTACTGCTGACCCAAAAAATATCATAGACTGGGAATGGGGCTCTGATGTGTATTCCTACAGTAGATAGGTATTTATTATTGCTATTGGTTTTGCAGCCACCTCAGAGTCATGGAGCCGAGGACTCTACTTTCCAAAAGAAGGCCAGAGCAATATAACAAAAGAGGTTCTGATCTCTACTTTCTTAATTATTATTTACTTTTGTAATTCTAGTTTGTGTATCATTTGCATTCATGTTTAATTTTTCATCTATTCTTTTGTTTTGTTGATTTGATTGGTGCAAAATTTTAAATAAATCATATTTGCTAATGTGGTATTAAGCTTTGGACCCATCATTAAAAAGTAGCTTCATTATATTTTCAGTTGCTCACACACCAGCGTTAATCCTGAATTGATGGAAAATAAACATTCTATTTTCTGGGATGAGTGTCCTTTATTTTCTGAGTCCTTCATTGCTGTATTTGTAACACATTTGCAATGTTTCTCACACAATATGCCATGTTCATTACATTGTTTGCTAGAAAGTTTATTTCTCATGCAATATGTTGTGTTTACGATTTCCATTTGCAGCAAAAGATGCAACTTAAAGAGTCATTTCCAGTCATCATTTGTCATCCATTTGGAGGATTCAATTTGGCTTTTCGAATAACTAGAATTGGTTTTACACAGGTAGTCTAGGCCACTCACTGACTTGGTTTTTTTTTTCTTTTTGTGCAATACTAACAATATCACCGCACTCATTTGGATTATTTATTTACTTCTATATTCAGCTTCAAGATGCAGCTTCCTTGACACTTAGGTGCATGGAGAAGTGTAGAGATGGTGGATTTGAGGAAGTTTTTATGACCAAGATTGACTATGCTGTTAAATATGACTATTGTATGAGGTATTGTTTCATCACTGTTTGTTTGTCACTAATAGTCTGTTTGAGGGCTCTACAGCTTGGATAATATTATACCGATGCTTTCTTCCAGATTACTACTTGAAATTTTCATCATGCTTTATGCTGTTGCTTGTACTGTCATGTACATAAATTACATTCTTTAGTTATACTCTCACTAGTGTAAGATGTTGGAGCAGGCAGGAAAAAAAAAGAAGGTATTCTTTACATGTCTTGTGAAACCTGAGTGGTATTGTTCCAGCCTATATTTGCAACTGTTGGTGCTGATGGCTGTTCTCTTAAAGATTACAATGTCTAGTTTCCAACATTTTGATCTGTATTGTGTACTTCAGCTCTCCACGAAGGCATCAATTTTCTAGTGGAAAAAATAAAATTTAATCAATGGGAATCAAGCACAGTGTCTCCAAAAGGATCAGCAAAATACAGTTGGATAGGCTACAGTTTTAAATTGGGAGTTTTAAATGGGTTCTAAAGTGGAACAGCAATTACTTGAGTGGTATTCTGAAGAGAATACATATAAGGTTATTGATATATGCTAGTATTAAACTAAATATATGGGTCTTCTTGTTCAAAGGTTTTGTGGCATCTTAAGTTTCTGCTGGTTACCCAGAGGGATATTTGAACTGAAAGGTGTCGGAAATAGCTAACGTTGGTGAATGTGGATATAATAACACCGATTTTGGGAAGCATAATAAGTATAATCATGTAAATAAACAGCCTTGTGGTTGTGGCCCTTATTACGATACATGTGTTGCTTATTTATGCTACCTGATAACACAAGAGATTTGTTTACCTTTTTTAACTCTTGCCTTTACTTTTCTTCTGGATGATAGACACTTATTGGCTGTTTATCTATGTACTGTATTCCATGATGGGTATTTTGAGTTTCTAGAATAATTTTCATGATGACTTGCTTCCAGTTATAAAAGCGGCAAATTATCTTAATGCGTGTTTTGTTCTTATAGAATAAATTTGAAGGGAAAGAAGGAGGTATATGCATCGGGATTCTGTTTGGATGATGAGTGCTGGAGATCATATGAGGAGAAAATACATTGTATTTTATCTAAAGGGTTGAATGATAGAGCAAAATCCATTCAAGTTACGTGGAGAAACACTCAATGCCAGTGGAATGTAGATGATGTATGGTTTCGGGCATGGATTTTCAGTGTCTAATTTAAAATACATTTCATGCTTTGAGTTTTTCTAATTTAATTCACAACCTCAGGGTTTGTCTGTACTTGATAAAGAGCCCTTGTTCGTGGGGATTTCAGTGAGTACATTGGAGAAAGCATTTAGGATGGTTGATATTGGTCCAAATGCTGAAAGTAAAGAAGAGGTTATTCTTCTGCTCATGCCCACTTTTTCATTTTGTTTTTGAATTTGTGTTGCTATGCATGCAATACATCCCTCACCCACGATTTGAAACAGGCTCTTGAATTTCGAAAGTTCTGGGGAGAGAAAGCTGAGCTTAGAAGATTTAAAGATGGTAGAATTGCGGAAAGCACAGGTGAGACATTTGTTGTTACAATTCATTTTTTATTCAGTATGATCATCCTAACTTTCCTGTCTTGTTGGCTAAGACACTTGATGACTACTAACATGGTGATGCTTTTCTCCCTAAAACAATTCCTAGTATGGGAAAGTGAGCAATGGGCAAAGCATCTTATTTTAAAAAGAATAGCTGAGCATGTTCTTAGTCGGCACCTTTCTTTATCCAAGGAAAGTATTGTAGTCATTGTGGATCAACTTGATTTCTCTTTGCTTCACGGTGCAAGAGGTAACAATCTTTATGAATTCTCATTTCTTTTTGTTTATTATGCTTTTATCTTATTAGCAGTTGTGATGCTTTTGAAATGATTGACCCACAGATCCTGTATCATACTCTGGAAGTCTACTTGGGGCATTTGATGTTTTATCAAAGCGTTTGCGTCTTATTGAAGACCTCCCTTTGAAGGTGTCCAGTGTTCAACCGTTAGACTCAGGTATTTTACCCTCCTGAACAAACCCTTGGTTGTGGTGCGTGCTTTTGTTAAATCCTTACAGGTTTTATTTTATCATTTTTTGAACCCGACCATATTAATGCTTGGTTGTGGTGTGTGCTTTTATTGTTGAGAACTGATTTTTTTTATCATCAAAGAAAAAAAAAAAAAGTAATTATAACAGTGTTTAAGTTACACATGTTGAATCTCAGTAAACCTTGAGCTAAGTCAATGTTCTGTGTGTATTATCATTTTACAGCTTTCAGGTTTACATCAGTCTTTCCTCCAGAACCCCATCTTCTTGCCAGTGAAAAAATTGAATCTCTCAGACTGCTTAAGTTAGTTCCATCATGCATTGAACCACTGGAAGTTATGATTCAGGTATGGCTTTATAAACCAATGGTGCTCGATGAACTGGCATTTTTACATGGAAGAACTAATTTTTTGCTTTTAACAGCTGGAAGGTTCTGGGAACTGGCCGATGGATGAGATTGCTATTGAAAAAACAAAATCTAGCTTCCTTATTCAAATTGGAGAGAGGTGAGGACTTAGATTCTTTATTAATTTCAGGAACTTATTCTTTTTCAATATTTAATATGATAGATTATGTTATGGCAGTCTTCAAAAGATGTGGGGGGTGTCATGTACTGCCACTGAGGATAATGTAGATGTGTTAATGTCTGGATATGCATTTCGTCTTAAAATTTTGCACGAGAGGGGGCTTAGTTTGCTCAAAAAGGAAAGTATGTGCTTCCAGTTCATTTATATAGTTTTGATAATATAATTGGAAATGCCTCTTCTCAGTTTGACTTACCAAACCGTTTTAACATGCAGTTGGGAACGATCAAGCGAAGCGTGTTCCTTCTGCTGACAAGAAACTTTTTACTTGTAGTCAGCACGCTAGCATGATCAATGGATTACAAAGTCGCCATCCAATATTTGGTGCAGTGGTTAGGTGAATAATTGAATTTTCTATGTCAAGCTATATTCCATTTGTAATCTGTAACTCATGTAGGCTTTTACATGTCTAGACTTGCTAAGCGATGGGTTGCTTCACATCTATTTTCCGCTTGCTTGGTAGAGGAGGCTGTTGAGCTATTGGTTGCATATCTCTTTCTTAATCCTTTACCATTTGATGTGCCCTGCTCGCGGATCACTGGGCTTTTAAGGTGACTTTCCTAATCATTGTTACTTGTCTAATAGGCAATGTAATTTTGACAAGATAAAATGACTATTTATGTATTGCTTGAGCATTGCATCCTGTACTGTCTAGTATTGCACTCATCTCTTTTACAATAAACTGTTTGGGACTATTTTCTCTGCTCCTTAATTATTTCCTCCTTTCATTCTTGCTGGTTAAATGGACCAAAAGTTTCAACATATGGTTGGGAGATTTTGAATGTCCAACTAGACAGTAGTTGGTATACTCCTTTAGACTCAAGTTTCTTGGTGGAATATCCTGAACCATATTACTGCAGATAATATGGCCATTTGCATGTTATGATGGGGTTTCACAACTGGGTATGAAGTTGGGATGGACAATTCTCAAGACTCAACATTCAAATATCCGATTGTTGCAAAGGGCCTAGGCCTATTCAGAAGCATTTTTAAATATTACAATACCATCTTATGCTCATTGATTTTATTGACAGGTTCCTGCGACTAATCTCAAACTATGATTGGACTTTTTCTCCGCTGGTTGTTGACATAAATAATGACTTGAGCCAAAGTGATGAGAAGGAAATAAATGTAAGTTGTGCCTGAGTACACATAATTATGTAAAAACTGAATAATGTTGGTCTTTGGAAAATATATGTACTTCTTGATGGCTGTATGGATTTTCAGGACAACTTTTTGCTCAGAAGGAAAGGTCAGGGAGAGAAAGGACAAAGTTTAGGGCCAGCAATGTTCTTAGCTACAACTTATGATAAAGCATCTGAGGCTTGGACTGGATTATCACCCAGTGCAATGGTTAGTTGTTCTTTAAATTGGATATAATTTTAATTTTGTCAAATAGTTCATTTGAAAGTTTGTTCATCGTATTCCTTTTTTACATGTTTGTTACTTGCCATTTCTTTCCTCACTCCCTTTTTTGTAGTCACGTAATTCTAGGAATTATTGTAAAATATAATATTGCTTGGGTGCTGAATTTCCTTTAAATAAAAATAAGTTTACTGCTAAAATGTCCTCAATAGTTGGGGTCTAGTAAAAGTTGTGTGCGCTGAAATATATGGGAAATTCCAGCAGTGAACTATACTAAGATTTCCATACATAAGTATTCTGTTCTGCACTTCTGCTAATGTTTTGACACTACTCGATTCCATTACATATGTTTTGAGTACTTGCTAATTTACAATGAGCTATTGGTTGCCTTGGGATGCTTTATCAATATTTTTAATTTTAACAGGAACTTAAAAGGTTAGTTGCTTATGCCCAAAGCAGTGCCAATTTGCTAATGAAACTCACATATCAGGAAGAGATTGGTCCTTATAGATGGGAGGTGAGTGGAAACACATTTTTCAGTTGTTTGTTTGTTTCAGCTTTTTATTGTACAAGATATTTCATGATCTTTTAATTCTTGCTGCAGTGCCTTTTTCGAACTCCTTTGAACAATTATGATGCAATAATTATTCTGCACAAGGACAAACTCCCATATCCCCAGAGACTTCTCTTCACGTCAGATGTTTCTCACGGTACAATTCTTAGTAGCTGGTAGTTTGCATAATTAAAGTCCATAAATGATTCAAGGTTGAGGAGTTTATTACTAGTTGGTGGGGATAATTACTTGTGGCAACGCAATACATAATTTGATAGCTATAACAGGTTTTCCTGTGCAAGTGGTCAAGTGCAATAACATCATAGTAAATGCTCTAGATCTATAAAACATATATAATAATAAAAATAATATTGGTTCAAATTTCAATAGACTAAGGAATCAATAAGTTACAATAATTAGTGATAGCTTGACGTTTTCATATTTTATTTTATCCGCTTTTCATTTGAGTTATGCTTATCTAATCAAATCATATTCTCATTTGCAATGTTGGCAGGAACACAAGTTGCTAAAGTACATGCTAGCAAGTGTTTCCAACCCTTTTTGTTGCCTAGAGATTTGAAGGGTAGGCAGGAGGAACTTCAAAATAAATTGCTGGTAGACTTTGATCCATCAAGATATTTTATCAGAGACTTAGAGGTAAGTACTAGTGAATGATTTAATGTTGAAGACAATGCTGTTTCATTTGCAGGATATTTCCCCATCCTCTTTGCTAATTTAGATGCTTTCATTTATCACTTTGCAGAAAGAGTTCTCCACCACATTCCAAATATGGCATGATTCTCTAGGAGGTGATGTTATTGGCCTAACGTGGGGGGAATCATATTCTTCGAAGGTGTGAAAATTGCATTTATGTTGGTCGATTTTGCACAAAGTATATTATGAATTCTTACTATGCATATCTCAAAAAATGGATATTCTGATCACCGTGTTTTCTTTTCCTTTTTAAAGAAGCGGAAGCAAGAGGAAGTAGTTGATGAAGGATATAACCCTGGCAAGGTGTTAAAAGCTGTGGGGGAAGTTGGGAAAGGTTTTGTTAAGAGTATATACTTTCTCAAGCCTCCAAAGCTCAAGTAATACTGTTTTGCTTATCTTATCAATATGTATAATGAAAAAATTTTGTCCCATTAATTAGCTAATTTTATTAATTAGAAAATTAATTTTAATTAGCGTGGAGGAATCAGTTCAACGTAGTTCTACTCTGTTGAGGGAAAATGGAGAGTTATTGTAGATTGTGCGTGTGTATATACTTCACTTCCACCTCCACAGCTCGGCTGCCCAAGAAAGATGAATAGAGTTGTTGATTCTTATTTATAAAGAAGCTGATGTAATATGTTGTCATTAAATTACAATATACATTTTCAATCGAATATCTTGATTCCCCTTGATACGTAACATACATACAGATGAATGTAGGGTTTTGATGTACTTGAAGTGCTCAATGATTCATTTTCTTCCCCGGGATTTCTTGATAAGTATTAGCAAAAGTTGAATTTTATTTATTTTCATTTTTCAGGAGCATGTTTGATTTACTTTTTAAAAACAGTTTATAGTTTTTAAAAATAAATTGTAGTATAAATTAAAATCTTAAGCAGGGCTAAAAATTTAGGGGAAAAAAAATCATCATACAAAAAAAAATATGAAAACATTGCATTCGGAATTTTCTATTTCTTGGTCCATCAACCTTTGGATAGGATAGCAAAATCAATTCTAATATGCACCAACCATGCAGGTGCTGAACTTGTAAGCCATGGATTTGATTGGTTGATATATAGCCTGTAAAATCTACTTGCTGGACTAATGCTTGTTTATGCCATCGTCCATCATATATTTTCAAATTACAAGAGAATTCTTTAATCCAATATACTGTCTTTGGAGGACATTATGGAAATTGAGTAAATGTGGTGCTTGTACAGTATTGGATTAGGTTTTAATAAATATGAGATGACTTGCAGCTTACTTACCTATGAATCATATACTGGAAGCTCTTTCTAAATGAGGATTTATGTAAAAAAATTAATTATAAAAATTATTGGAAAAAGTTATAAACAGTTTATCTTAATAGTTTATGTTAGGAAAATTATTAAAATGAGATAAAAGAGCTTCTAAGAGTTTTAAATTATTTTTATAAGTTGTCTTTGAACTTTTTAAGCGTCTCCAATGAAAACTTAAGAATAATTTTGCGATAAGGGTAGCTTTCATCAATTCTGTAATTTCATTGAACCGAGACACTTATGCATAAGGATTAAGGAATAGCTGGGACATTTAAACACGTAGCCAACGGACTGATTAATGTGAAAATGATAGAAGTTAAGGGATTGATACAAAATAAAATACTGTTTTCATGTAACTCCACTTAAGTTTCTGAAGAGTTCTACCTCATGCATTACTGGGTTTATTAAGGATACATGTTTGGGATAAATAGATTTGGAAGGAAATTGTAGGATAACTTGCATTTTAAGAAAATATTATTTAATTTGAGATTTTTTAAAATAAAATAATAAATTATTACAAAGCCTCTCAATTTTATTTTTTTACAGACAATCTTAATTTTAAAAATTCATCATTTCTTCCTTTTTTTTCTAAAAAAAGTTTTCAAACATAGCTTCCCAACTGTTTGATTTTGGGATTAAATCCTGTTCAAATTGTTTCGTCTATATCTTATCATATAGGCCAGCTTTGACACATACGATGACCTTCACAACTTTATGAGGAAAAAAAAAATAGAAAAACAGAATAAGCTACAGTTCACTTTTTAAAAGAATTTTCCGTTTTCCCGTGCTCTCTTCTCTTGCCTTTTCCTTTGTTTTCTCTAATCCCGTTGTGTTTGCTCCAACGGTCTTTTGGAGACAAGAGTCTTAATTAATGGGCTTAGGCCTGCTGTAAATTAAAATAGGCCTGCCTTCAATCCAACGCTAGGCTACCTTTTGGACCAATTATATAAAAAAAAAAAAAACACACTCAATTCTGTGTCGACGCTCCCGTAAAATCAGAAACCCAGCGGAAGTGGGTATACGACACCGTTTGGAAACAAAATGATACCAATTGTTACAGCAAATGTGGGATCGACATGAATGAAAGGCAGAACAGAAGCTCTTGAACTTTGCCACAGTATTGCTCTTCCCTTTTTTGTTGTTCGCTCAAAGTAAGTCACTATGATTTCTCTCCTTTTTCCATGCATTTGTTTTTTACTCTGTTTTTAATTCGACGCTTCCAACAATTTAGATAGTGAATGTTATTTCTTAAGAATGTTTTATGCAGACATATTAGATGGGTTTGTGCAGTAGTTCTGTTTCGTTATTTCTCAGACTTTCAGTGATTAACTACAATGTTGTGTCTTTTTACCATTTTCCTTTTTAATTTCTTAAACGAAGGAAATAAAATGGTATTTTAACCTTATGTCTTTTTACCATTTGTTTGTTTTTATATATATTATATAATTTTCTTAATTTAAAAATAAAAACTATATTATCCCTTCCCTTTCCCTCTATATTGTCGATTTAGTGGTGTTTGTAGAAAAATTATGGAAGAGGAAGGTTCCTTTTAATGGGTTCATTATGGTCAAGCTCTAATATCTTCAGTGAAAGGATGTGTTAACTGCTGAATTGTTATATAAGGTTATATTACTCAAAAATGAAATAAAAAGGAAGTGAAATGAGAAGCATTCAAGATCAGTTTTAAACAGATAGATTCATACAAAAATCTTGGTGGAAGATTGTGGTAGGTGCTGGCTAGAATGGGTTCTAACAACAAACAGACTGACAAGAAACTAGCAGTCAACACAGCATCAAGAGTCACATTTTGCCAAAGAAACAAGTCTGAGAATGGGAGCTTCGTCTCTAATTTGAGAAACCATTTTCATGAATTTATAAATGCTTCTGCGGACGAACACAAGACATGCTTGAGAAACACAATTAGAAAGGTAAGTTTCTACTGTGGATGCATACAACAAAGTCTCTGTTGTTGATGATGTCGTAAGTGATAAATTATACTATCTTGTTTGAAACAGATAGCTAATGCATCAAAGATTTTTGGGAAAAGCGGTGACAGCACAAACGAAAACTCTGTACCCCTTCAGTCATCTAGAAGGAACTAGAAGGCTTTCGTGAATCATCATCAGTACATCAGTGGAGGGTTACCTTAAAAGGGTTTATAGTATATCCCAAGACCTCAGATTTTCGACGCAGGATATTTCTTTACTACACCAATAGCAGATTTGTGAATTGTGATGCATTTGTGTTTCACCGCCTAGAAATTTGATCGTTTCACTGATTGGATTCTTTCATTATATCATTCGTGACTTCAATTGTTTATGAATTTAACACATATAATTCAATGGTTCAACTTATAAGCATTAAAATAAATATGTGTGAAAATATGGATGAAAAAATTTATAAATATAAATCCAACACATTGATAAACGGGAATCTAAACACATTAGCTCTGGCTACATTTTGTAGTAGCACGTAGTTAGCAAGATAAACCAAACTCAGCATTATCTTTGAATTCAGTTTTCATTAGTATGAGTTGTTTGAAAGTAAAAGCTCAATATGTCATTTGCAGCAACGCTTATTTGAGTTTTATTTTTTCTTTTAATTTCTCTTTACATAAAAAGAAATGTCAAATAGTAAGCATGGATGAAATTTATTACACACCTAGAAGGAAAAGTTCAGAGAAAAAACAGCGTTACTGACCCGATGATGTTTCATAATTGTTAACATAAATTCTTGAGAAATATTGTTCCTCGTCCCTTTGAAGATCATTCTTCAGCTAGAGTTTTAAATCTCTCAACCTGCACACAATTTATAACAAAAGAAAAAAAAAATGCAATTATGAAACAAATGGGAAGTGTTGATTACTTTTATTAGGCAATTAAGGTTGCAAAAGAAGAAGTGTAAGATTCATAATCAAATTTTAAATAAGATATTCGAATGAAATAAAACTGTGCCTTTGAAGCATGCAAATTATATAGATAATTCAGAATAAGCGGTTGTGATATATACACTATTTATTCATGAGAGTGGAGTAACTTGTACTTTACATCTTTTTCTATTGCCTTAGTTTCTCACGTAGTTTAAGAGGTGGGTAGGCAACCAACTTTTATACTACTAGACTTACTTAATATAAACATGAATTCTTATAAATTATTATTGTCGATTTGTGATGAGTATCAACACCTGCCGCTCCTAGGTAAGTAGAGGATTAAAAGACATATTGATCACTTTCAAGAACTATTCCCATCCCACTTTAGGAGAATTGTTATTAAAAAATTGTGGCATAACATACTTAGTATGTGTTTAAAACCATGCTGAAAAACTTGTGAACATAGATCCTACCCGAGAGTTACAAAAGTGCTAAAGTAAACATGTATTTATGACTTTTCCAACATAAATCTAAATATACACTTCGTGCGTGTTTTGAATTCACATTTGAATAGTCATGGATCTAGTTATAATTTTTGAATTGGATACATGTTTACATATTTTGCTGAACATGTTTTTCAAATACACACTTACCAGAGAGTAACTCTTTCATTGAGAGTTTCCACAATAAATTTGTTGCCACAATAATGCTAATGGGGGGATCATACATATATATGTTACCTTTGCTCTGCATTGCTGATGTTTACTTTGCTACATGCAGCATTTCTCCTGTAAGCAGGGAGGGGAACCTTGCCTGACTCAATGTTTTTGATGTCCTCTAGAAGCATCTCATATTGCCTCTTGACTTCTACTTCAGTTGTTCCTCCAACAAACATGGCTACGTTGTACCAACGGTCAGGGGTTTCCTTATCATATATTGCCAAAGCATTTTCAAACAGTTTGTTCTTCTCTGTTGTCCATCTTAGACTGGTGTTAGGAGAAGAAAGTGTGTTAGATGTCATTGCTACCCAAATCAGATAGGATTTCAGACGGGAAGAAAGAGGTAATCCTGTGAACAACTAGTCACTAAATTAGGAAGAATCTTTGACTGCAAAAGGTAAGTAAATGAGTGGGAAAGGAATAGGTAGAAGACTGGTTGGAAACACAATGAAGTAGGAAGTTGTTAATGTGAATATTATAAGGACACTAGATTCAAGAAATGACACTGCAAAACTGGTAATTGGTGCGCCATTTAAACTTATATATGGAAAGGCTGCAAGTTGTCAAACAAAAGTACATGTTATAAATACTGTGCTTATATTATAAGATGATTGTGCAGCTGTTGATTAATTAGAAGGTTTAGTTCTAAAGATTAGTCTCAGTTGCTTCCCTTTCAAGTCTTCCTGGGTTCTATCTGAAAGGCTGAGAATAAATAAGGATTTCGTTCCCAATAACCCCCATGCTTTGTTCTTGTGTAATGAAAATTTGAGCTAATATGAAATCTAGAGGTTGGGTTTGGAGATTTGCGAATATATGAAAACAGTATATTTAATAATTTTAAAAACAATAAAAAAATTAATATATATTAAACAAATATTTCTTTATCAATATATGCTCTAATGACCGCACATAAAACTTTATCATATTTTAATTTTATTTTTACTTGTTCTAAAAGTTCATTAACAAACTTTTCATATGAGGTTTTCATTTGTTTATTAAAAGGATTGTTTTACATATGATTTTTATATGATTACATCATTTGAATTTTTTTTTTCATTGACATATACAATTTTTTGTATAATCTTATTAATTTAATGCCAACAAAGAGAAAAAAAAAGAGTAATTTTTTTTATAAATATAGAAAAACTGATATTAAAATATCCATTCCCATAAATTGAAAATTAATACTATCGTGTGTCTCCCATAGTAAAATAAATTATTCAGAATTTGATTTCAAAATTTAACGTTTAATCATATACTAAGAAAATTATTATTTTTTCATTTATAAGAGCAAAAACAAGGATAAAACTACAATTCGGATAGGAAAAATTATTATTATCCTACCGATTTTATATAAAAATAGGAATAATTAAAATAAATACGAATAATTACTGTGTTAGTTTAACATTTACTTATTTTCTTAATTTCTATAAATATTTTGACTCTGTCGTTTATTTCTTTTCACGTGACCAGCGTAACTGAATGAAAATTACATTTAATTGTACTTGACATGATACGACCGAACAAAAAGGGCTTGACATGTAGAAGCCATTGTTGAACTTGAGTTTTTCCAGCAATTTCCTTATCGATTGAAGAGAAACATAGGACACAAAAGACATAACACGTGGATTGAAGAATTCAAGAACGTAGAGACACGTGTACGCCTTAATATTCTTAGTAAGTGTATTAGGTACGAGAACGTTCCTTCGACAAAATTTAATTATAGGGCCTCGATTCTCACTGTCTCATCTGCATCCTTGCGTCCATCCAAACTCCACGTGATGTTCCCTGCGCGTGTGGACACGCGTGTTTTTAACTCCTTAGATGCTTCGCTCGTGCCCTATTCAGTTGCGCCTTGCTATTACAACATGCAAGTGTGCATTTCATTCCCCTCAGAGACAAACAATAGCTTGTATTTTATTATTTTATATTTTTTTAAAATCTAAAATTTTACATTAAAAATTGTTTATTGATTTTATAAAATAATAATAAAATTATTAAATTGTTTAAAAAACAGAGAGTGAATGTTGTAATTAGGATGCCAAGTTCTACCCTTTTCATATCTTTAATGCTAAGGTTTGTAGAATCACAGCGTAGAAAAAAGGTAGGTAGAACCTGGCTCTTGGTTGCAGATTAGTATTATGCGAAGGGCTTGACCAATCTTTTCTAGGCCTCCCTTAAGTTGTAGGACTCGAGACCAAAAAAATAATAAAAAGCTGTAGGACTAAGAGTCTGTTTGGTTTTTAGGTTTGCAAATGGAGTTTGCTTTTAAACATAAAATTACGAGAAAGATAATGGAAGTTAACATAAAATAATAACAATGAAAGCTATTATTTAACAGCCAAACAATGAATTAATAAAAATAAGAAAGTAAAATGTGAAGAAGTCCCACCGAGATTTGAACTCGGGTTACTGGATTCAGAGTCCAATGTCCTGACCACTAGACCATGGGACCTTTAGTGTTGAGATCATAAAATATAATATAACATTACTAAAAGTGATTTGCTTATTTGCCCCCTAACATACCATTTTATTTATCGATTAAACTTAAGTATCCAAAGGAATATAAAGAATTAATATTATAAATTATTTATATTTAAATTTTGTATGTTTTTAGATATTCCTTAATATTTAATATAATAGTAGTTATGATAAATAATCATTATTGTTTTTATAAATCTCACATTGAATAGAATATTCATATTATACGTAAAGCATGAACCTTTTACACTTAAAAGATTAATGATTTATCTTGAATTATTCTTATATGCTTAACTTGTCATAATTGATACCTCGATGGAGTTAAACTATTAAGAAGGCTACCTATATACCACATTAAGGAGTAATATATTAAATGATGATAGATAAGTGTGAAATCACAAATGTAGTAGAAATTTTAGTTTCATACATAAGTCACGAGGCTTTCTTATTTAAAAGAATAATTTTAAGTTAAACCTTCTTATATGTTTAAGTCGCAAAGATTATTATTTATTTGTTAATCTTAACTAAAAAAAATGTTCGAATTAAAGAAAATATATAATATGAATTGAGCCGTAAAAACATGTAATATTTATTAAAAATGTCAGTATATAATATAATAGTAAACTATAAAATTAAAATATTTTATAAGATATTTAAACATTTTACACTAATGTTGATTATAATTTTATAATCATTATTTTTTAAGGGCATTAATTAATTACAATAATTGTTCAGATGTTACTCTAACACTTAAATACATCTTCAAAACTTCTTCTCGGTTGAAAAATCCTGTTCAAAGATCTACTAAAAAAATTGAAGAATAAGATATTTCTTTTATTCTAATTGAACAATAAAAAAATAGTTAATATATTTAAAATAATTATATATTTATAAAATACTGTCTCAGTAGTTGTAATATAATTTTAAATGATGAATTAAACAATTTTAATAAAGTTTTATTCTCAAACAAACTTCTGACCTTTGTTGGAGGAGGGAGGGTCCCATAGACATCTTGAAAGAAAATTCGCACTCTATACTCAATCATAATAAATTCTCAAGTAATCTTAATAACTGTCATATGTTATACATGACTTTCATTTTAAAATAAATTTTATCAATGTTCATTTAATTTCTTATTCATCTTAACACTATCTTCAATAGAACTGTCATGTAACTTCAATGTTTTCAATGCTTGATTATAAGCTTTAAATTTTCAATTACTAAAATCTCACTAAAAAAATATTATTTACCACAACATTTGTAATATTATATTATATCTTTATTTTTGTATTTAAAAAATACAAATTATTTGGATTAGCAAAAAATTTGCATTGTGAGATTCACTATCTCTAAATACATTATATATTTAGAGTTTGAATTTGCATTTGATATATATGTATCATGATTTTTATTTTTTTTAGAGTTTCTATAGAATGTAACCATACACAGCCAAATCATGAAAAATATGTGTATTATTCTTTTTATAAAAAATAAAATAAAATATTTTATTTGTCTTTATTATATAGAATAAATAATAAATTGAAGAAGTATTAATTATTAAATTTTTTTTATACTTTATTTTATTAGTATCATCGTTAATTATATAAATTACTAATTATAGTAATTAATATCATGAATATTTTTAAAATAAAATTTATATTTATAAAAAAATAAGTGACTTAATTGATTTTCTTAATCTTAGATATTTAATTTTTTGTTTCTTGTAAAAAGATCAGAAGTAGTACATTTTATCTGTGTTTAGAGTTTAGTGTAAGAATCTTATATTATTATAATTCTTTCCAACACTATATACAATTTATCAATATATTTTGATAATAATTAATATTGAAATTTAACTTTTATATATTTAGTGCAGATAATACAGCACATAAGAAAAAAGAGGGGCAAAATCTGCTCCTTTTCAATGCTCAAAACAAATAAATGTCCGACCCTCTAACCCGAATGTTTACATCACAAGAAAATAAACACATCGAGCTCTTCACATACCAAATCTCACCTTTTACACTGACTGTAAAAAAGAATTCCCGAACATATCACAGTGTCACTGCGGTAATAATCCACCGACCAGCAGGTACCATGGGTAAAAAGCGTACACACACACGAGACAATTGGACCACCCATCGGTATGGCCCTTCAGTTTTACAATCGCTTCCTCAATTGAGATCCTTTGCCTACTCCTTTGCCCATTGGGGTGGACTGCAAAAACACTAGTCCCTATTTTCTTATGGCACAGAGAACACATGCTATCACTGGTTATCTTTACAATTGCTTTCCTCTGACCATAGAGTTCATCTTTCACCTGTGTGAACAAAATGAATTATGCTACTTGATAGATACTAACAAAACAAAAGTATGCAAATGCGCAAGAGCGCGACTCATTGACTCCGCCATGTTACATCCTACAGTACAAATACTATGAGGTACGAACTAATGATGTTGTCCAATAATTCCATTCAGAAGTAAGAAACTTTTAATGATGGATAAATTTTTTATTCCCGGTGTATGCTTACCTGAAGGTTCTCGCTCTGTCTCAAGCTCTTTATCACTGAACAATTTCGGTACATTTCACTAGATTTTCTCGGAAGGGGTCCAAGAAACGAAAGCAGGTCCTGCATATTATAGATGCACTTCATACCAGATTGAAGAAACTAACAAAAGTTTGACCAGTAAAAGTAATTGTGTAGCTATAGTGCACTAGCAAGCAATGGATACCTGTAATTTAGTCTCTTTTGGTAAAAGTTTAAGAGCCTGAGCTCCATTTATTCTATCCCACCTGCGGCTCAACAAATCAAGGACCTCATCAAGCATGATAGTAGAACCACTCTCACTGTATTCATCTGCATCACCATCACTCCTGCCACTGTCAGTGCTGCTCAAACTAACTTTTGTGTCTTCTGCACCCTCTATTGCAGCAATTTTCTTTGATCCTCGGCCTCTACTTTTTACTGATGTCAATGAACTAACTTTTGGAATGGTTGTATTCTGTGGGGATAACAGATTTGTAATTCTCTTCTCAAAACCTGATGTGGTCCTTCGAGGATTCAAATAGATTTGTAGAAGCACAAGGTATATGTTGCTGGAATATTTTAAAGATGGCAGATGAGTAGACTCATAGACCCGATCACAATAAGACAATGCCAGTTCCGGGACATTAAGCTACAAATGAAAAACACACTCATTCATTAGCATAAAAACTGATTTATATGACACTCATACACGAAGCAATGAACTTATGCATCAGGGATATCAGAAAATGTCAACATCAATGAGTCTCCCCATCGCAATACAGATGATATATATTTGATCTACCTTGTGAACATACAAAGATAATGCCAGTTTATGTTGGTTCATATTTCCCAACAATATTGCTCGCTCTTCATATAAAGCATCTGGTGGAAGTCGTTTTAGCGAAGCCTCTGGACTGTATCCTGATATGCTCTCTAAGGCAGACAATAGCTTTTTCCTTGTTGGGGAATAAGCTTTCTCATCCCATTTTTGTTGAGCACTTAAAGCAGCATGCCACTCGAGTACTTCAGAAAGATAGATGTGTACCTACATTGCAGAATACTGTAAATTCAGAGATTTTCTCCTACTAATAATCAAATATAAAACGTGTTGACAATAAAGCAACTGAGTTTGCAGCAGCATCACCATAATGCTTTTGCAAAAAATTTACTAGCTATTTACATGAAATCCACCAAAAACCCTGTTCCCATCAAGCCAAAATAAAAAACAGAATTGATTCATTCCTTGAAGCCTTTGAATAAGATGCAAGAGGTCCTCACCATTTCATTCTGCAAATTGCCCGATATGGCATTCTCATTCATTGCAAGCATAAACTCCAAGTACCTAGCTTGCATGTTTAGAGAATGCTGCTTCAAATATGAGTTCACCATATCAGCTGGAATATTTCCGGACAGAAAGAGCTCAACAGTTTGAGATGGACAGCTTTCAAGAACAAGCATTGAGAACTCCAGAACAAGTATGGGGTCGGTCCCACAAGCGGCTGCATCAGAAACCACCAAATTAAAAACTAAGAATTGGAAACAACTTTTTTGCTTTGGAGGATTTTGAGTCTCCTGGAAAACTTAAAATCCACATGTAATGGAGATTGAACACATCTTTTTATAATTAATTGGTGAGTGACTTTACACCGACAACACTTTCTAGTACAGCTAGATGCAGAGGAAAAGAACTGAATTAGCCCATATAGGAAAAAGCTCAAACTATTGCTGCTAGCATATCAGAGCCACAAAACCAAAATAGTTCGTATTTTAACGATAAAGTGTCATTTGATCTAGACTATCAAATAATGCAAAAGAAGAATATCTTCATATAATCTCCATTAACACTAGAACACGTTATAATACCTGGCACAATAAATACACCACCAACTTCTGTGGAGTGTGGACTTACAGATACTACTACTTCCTAAAAGCACCACCTATATTAGTCTTAGAGGCAATAATAAAAAGATTAGCCGTGACAACTTTTTAAAAATTCCGCGGCGTATATTCAGAACGATCCATCGGAGCACCCGAGGAGGAGCTTCGACCCGTACGATTCGATGGCTTCGATCTTGGCAGGGCAATTGCCTACCACTTCCAAACAATCGTACGCGCTGTGCACCATTTTCTTCTCCCACGCTTTTCGCTCCTTCAATCCCACATTCTCTTTTTTTAAGCTTACTTCAGCTTGCTCTTCCAAAAAGAAGAGACAGATACATTAATTATACTAATCACTGTTTATTTTATGTAAAAGATACATAAACAACTCTTTCTTCTTGGTTTCTAGGGTAAGTTACATATTTAATATTCATCAAAACAAGTATAGTTTTATAAAAGATCACAAAATATTACAGAAGATATGAAACGGGGCTAACAGCCTAGATTTATAACATTCTAATTGCCATGTAGCATGTTTAAAATATATGCTCCGTACTGCTGTAAAAAGGTCATGTAGTCATACAAACCATCTAAATTTTCTTAAATTGCTGACATGCATAGGTTAATTACAATAACCTTTTGCGGTATAAACCAACCCAGCTTATAACTTTTATTAAAATAATATATATAACTCTTTTATTTTTAGATGAATAATTACTCAACTTAAAATGTGTGTATATATATATATAACCACAAATATTGGTCCCGGCGGGGCTCGAACCCGCGACCTTCGGCTCATAAGACCAACGCTCTAACCAACTGAGCTACGGGACCGTGTTGCTTTTCCATTGTATAATACAATAATCAGCTTACTCCCAAGCCCAGTCCACCAATCACTTCTGAACAAACTGCCAATAATATATTTGTTCAAAAATGGCCACAGTATATAGCTTACTTTGTTAATGGTTATCAACGCAAATACATGTTGATGATCGAGGCAGGGTCTTTCTTTAGAAAATGATAAGTTTGAAGAAATTTACGACAAATTTATAATTACATTTTTTTTGTTTTTCAAAATTTATCTTAATAAACGTTATATTTAAATTTATAATATAAATACTCATATAATATTAAAATATTAACAAAATATTTACTTAAATGTACTAAAATTTTGAAAATAATTTTGTTACAGAAAATATTTAAAAATTTTATGACAGAAATGAAAATGTAAATAAAATACGTGATTATATATATTAGAAAATAAAATCATGAAGGATTAGTAAAAACTCTGAATAATGTATCAATATGATGTTTTTTCTTTCTTGCTGGGTTTGAAACTTATAATTTTAAACAAAACATAAGGTAATAAGTACTATTTACGTTATTATTTAATTAAATAATAATAATTAAAAACTAATACTAATTTTTAGTTTAATCTTAATATGTTGCTAATGTAAATATTTTTACACTCAATTAATTGTAATATACGGTCAACATGTCTTCTTAATAGTTATTATAAAAATCAAATATGGTAATTATAATTAAAAATGGTATAAAATATTTATATTGTCATTACACTATAATTAAATTAATAATTTTTACTTTTATTATGAGATAAACTTTTTTTAAAATTTTTATATTTAAACTACGAGTATATATATATATATATATATATATATATATATATATATATATATATATATATTTGAGTAAGCTTATTGCTAAACGTGATACAATTTTTCTTTTAAATATGATATATAACTGTACGATTAATATTCATATTCAAAAGCATTGATTGTGATCTTAATCTTTGACTTTATAATTTTTGGTTAGTTTCATCCAAATTTAATGGGTTTTTATTTTAATTTCTAAGTTGTTAACATATTTATCACGTTGGTTCTTTGTTTAAGTTTAAAATATTTGACATAAATATCAATGTCGCTGATTAATTATTATCTTAGCATCTTAAGTACCGATTGAGCTAATATTTAGTAAAACTCTAAATGTTAACGGAGGTTCGGAGAAAATATTGAAGAAGGCGCTTTGCGGTTTTGTTAAAGAAAGTAATTTTAGATGTGATTTTTAATAAGAATCTTGTTAATCAAGATTTTTGGGACACTCAATTAAAAATTGAAAAATAAATCAAATTATTGTTAGTTTGTAAGAAAATTAATGGGAAAATATATATTAATAATATTTTTTAATAACCGTGTTTCGCTTCATTTTTAACCAATACTTTAAAGGGATTTATTATTGATTTTTAAAATAATGAATCTCTTTAAAACCACAGCATGTCATAATCCCGTGTTTTAAGCATAAAGTATATTACTTTTTTAATATATTCAATCTAACAAAATTAAGATAAATTAAAACACAAAAACATCACCAAAAAATCTAATGATTTTTAAACAAACATTATAAACGACACGTGATGTTAAATTAAGCAAAGGGTTGCTTTTTATAACCTGTTATTAAAAAAAATCAGTTAAACTCTTCAATTTAAATTTTTAATAAAATATATAAAATTTATAAATTTCACACAAATTTAATTATTTAATATTTTATTATTTATGAATGTTTGTTTCGTATAGAAATTTATACACACGGTTATTCATAATAATATTACAAAAATGAATTAGATTAGTAAATTTCATTTTAAAAAAAACAGTACACAAAGTCTCGTTTACTATTTCTTTTCTAAAAATAGTTTTTAATTTTATGTTTTTAAAAATAAATTATAATATAAATCAAACATGCTCATAAATCTTACACACAATTTCATTTTATCTCGATCCATGTTTAAATAAACCTCCTTTTTTTTTTCATTTCGTCAAGTAATTTTTCATGCATTAAACATTTTTTAATTTAAAATTAATTTATATTTCAGTTTTTAATTAAAAAAATACATGTAAAAAATTTATTCCATTCAATATAATAAAATATTGAAAAATCATAATTAAAATATTAATTTTTTAAGCTTATTAAATTTTAAAATAAAATTATATATTAAATTTTTATTTTAATTTAACAATACGATGCAATCCAAAAAAAAAAAAAAACTTCAATTAAATTCATGCTTTTATATCACTTTACACTCATAAATCAGTTTAATGAGTAATATTATTAAACAACGTTAATTCAACTAACTGATTTATTATTATTTGTATCTTTTAATTATTTTATTTACTAATTTTATGAAATACATCCATCGAGTTATTTGAGTCACTAACAATAGATAAAATTTGAATCACGTTTTATTAGTACAATTAATTACATTTTGTTTAGAAAAAATCTATAACTCTGAACAATCAAAATTGAATCTTCTGAAGAAATATAATGATTTTAAATATTTTTACAGGAGTAACATTTTATGTTAATGATCATATTTACTAAATATAAAGCAATAAATATTAAAAAACATTAAATGCATTTAATATTGAAAGAATGTTGACATGAGGTTGTTTGTGAGACAAAATGGTAACATGTATAAATGGAGGAAGCGAAAAGAACGCCCGTGACTGAGAAATTAGCGTGTGGGAGAGAGAGAGTGACAGTGGAAAGCGATGACGCTGGGTTTGATCAATGCGAATCCCGTGGTTCACGCCAAGAAAGAGAGAATCGCTCGTTCCGAAGATCCTCACGCCGACGACGCCGTTGATCCCCTCGATATTTATGATATCCTTTTTCTGCACACTTCATTTTCTATCTGTTTTCACTTTGCGATGGCTTGAGTTCGGTGCAAAACTTTTGAATCCTTGACTTTGATTTGACAAATTTCGTGAGGGATATTAGGGATCCCGAACATCCTTATTCCTTGGAACAGCTCAGTGTTCTCTCTGAGGAATCAATCACCGTCGATGACAAATTAGGAAGGATTTTGTGAGTTTTTATTTTTAATTTCTTTATTTTTTTGTTTCTCATTTTAGGATTAGTAAAAATTATTTATTCCCTTCTTAATTTGACTTTAATTTTGTTTAGAATAACTTTTACGCCGACCGTGCAGCACTGTAGCATGGCCACCGTCATTGGTCTGTGTCTGCGAGTTAAACTAAAGCACTATTTCCCTCCTCATTACAAAGTTTGTTGCCTCTGAATCCTCTTCTCTGATACATGTCTTTTTCTGCATGCTTTTACTTTGCTATAGTATAAACGTATACTGGTTAGAGAGGTGTATCATTTGCTGATTGCTTAGAAACGGTTATTTATTTATTTTTGAAGCTTAACAGCTGGCTGGAAATTAGTAACGTGTGATGGTGTTAAAATAGTAAGAAAAGAAACTGAAAGAGGGAAAAAAAAAAGTGAATAGGATTCTCGTTGGTTGAAACTTCCCGTTATCTTGGTGGGGATTTGTTCTTTTTTTATTTCATTCTCGGCAAATTTTATTTTTTTCCCACAAGAAGTGTGATGCGTTTCTATGGAATTGCAGGTCTCTTTATTGGTTCTTATTTGTAGTGTTCAATTCTGTGGAATGGGGCTAGTGGTTGTGATTATTGGATAGAAAAGCGGGAACGGTGTGCAATGTATTTTTTCCAATGTAGATTTCCTGGAAAAAGTCGTGTTTTTCTTCAATTTCCTGCATAAGATATTCAGTCCATCAAAACGGAAGTTAAGAATGGTATTTATTTTTACCATGTCCTTTGTGTAGAAATAACAGGAGCAGGGTCCGTTTCCTTGATGTGTATTGATGAGAATTTGATTCCACGAGAAATTGAGCACAAACCTGTAGAATTGGCCTATTTAGGTGTGTGCCAATTGAAGTATTTTGAAAAGAAAAATGAATTGAAAAAACGAATGCTTTCTAAGGGGGCAGGGAGATGTGACAGTGAACAAAGAAATCAGTGAATTTGAATTGACAACTCATAGGGGGATAGATGTTGACAAAAAGATATTGAAAGACATTTGAGGAAGGAATTATAGTACTCAAATGATCATGTTGATATGTTTGGTGCTGAACATAGCTGAGGTAGCGAATGTTGAAGAATATAGGCAGTTTGAGGGGGCGATTCTGTGATTTGTGCTTATGATGCTTGGGGTAGGATCCTTGTGCCATGTACAAAATAATGAAGATAATCATTGAGTGAATTAGATTCTAGTTCTAGCTTCTTGAATGGGATTGGATATATTTCGTGAATGCCATGTGTGGAAGTTTGTAGTGGCTCCACTGAGTTAATCAATAATTGCATATGGTAATGCCAAGGGACTCCGTTGCATTACTTTCTTTGTGCATCTCTATAAACGTAGTTGGATATTTTTGTCGTTGAAGTGTGTTATTTCATTCATTTGAATTTGGTTGGTGACATGTTATTTTGTCAACCCTTTCTCTTGAATCTCCACTCATGCAGGAGGCTTTCTTTCTTTTCATGTGAACTGCAAATGCTCCACGCTGAAAATTGTCTTCCACTCTGATTAAATGTCTGTATAGATCTTAGAATGTCTTCTGCCTGGTAGTTATCTCATCTATTATTCATATTTCTCTTTGTAGGTGGATATCAAGGTTTCTCCAGGATCACATGCTGATGAAGATTCAGGTAAAGTTTAAACAATTGTTCATACCATAACATTTAAGACTTAAGGGATGGATCCTTATGCTAAAATTCAACATGACAAGGGCCTAGTTTGGATAAATGTCTTCATAAGTACTTGTAGGAGTAAAAAAATTAATAAGAAGATAAATTAAACTCCTATCGATTAAAATCATATATATATTTTAATTTCTCTTGTTTAACTTTTTTAAAACTTGAGTAGTATAAGTTATTTTTAATTTGTGAGAGAAGATTTATTTATTTTTTTATATTAATTTTCTTTTCTTATAAATATTTATCTAGAAACTTACCCAAATTAAGCTAAATTATGATAAAAGATTCGTAGACTTGATGAACATTCATTTTGGGGGAGGGTCTATTTAATGTCCATGTCTTGTCATGTACACAAGAAGATCCATTCCTGGGATTAAGCCCTTCCCCTCTCTTTTTCTTCACTTTTTTCTGTTCTGTTTTTGGCAGCATTTAACATTAGGAAAGATTTCATTTCAAACAATACTAATAATTTTGGTTGAATTATGAATTGATTCCTACATTTGACACTGTTTTTGTTTCAGCCCATACATGAAAAAAAACCTACTTTTTGGTCCTTATATAAAAAATGATTTCTTGATTAGTTTTTGCCATTTATCAAAGTTAAAAAGATGTTAAATTTGTTTCTTATATTTTATACTATTTTTCATTTTAATTCTTATACTTGCACTTCATTTTTGTCCTTCTATATAAAAGCTCTACATTTTAGTTCTTGCATAGGATATATTATTTAGTTTAATATGAGCTCAATGGTGTCATGTGATCCCTGTAAGGGACCTCACATGGTGGAATAAAACTTAGTTATTGTTATTGCCCTTGAATAAAAATTACAGTAATGTTATAATTTTAATAAATAATAAGGACTATTTTTTAATTTTTTTATATATAAGAACAAATATAGGATTTTATTTGTATAGAAATTAAAATGCAAAACAAGTTAGTTATAGAGATTAAAATTATAATTTAACAAAAAATTTCATGTTTCTATGTTCTCCTGAAGACAACTATGCGCACTTAATTCATGACACTTCCAATTTTGCCTATGCCTCACTCAGGAACTACAGTTTCTTTGGAATCCTTTCTTCCTGCAACATGAACTCCTAATAGTACTACATATCTTTCTCATGCAGTCAATAAGCAATTAAATGATAAAGAAAGAGTTGCTGCTGCCTTGGAGAATCCCAACCTCCGCCAGCTTGTGGATGAGTGCCTCTACTCTAATGAACTGTGAACAAGCAGATATGCCTGCATAATAACCTCTGTACAGGGCATTTGCCGCTCTTGATGCAATAAAAAGTAGTCAATCTGGAAATTATTTGAAAGGGATTTACCTTTCAAGAAGGTTTAGCTCTTTGATTTTCATAGGAGGTAACTTTGCGTCTTCCCTCCCCTCCCCTCCCCAACTCCACATTGTGTTTAGCATGTGGTATACTGGTATGCATGTAGATTAAGTTAGACATCGTTTTGCCATATTTTTGTACCTTACGGAATATGTAGTGAGTCTGTTTACAGGTTGACCCGGTCCTTGTATTCATAGTTCACGCCAAGCCGTTTAATTTGGTTAGGTTGAAAGTGAGTATAATTTCCTGTATGTGTGATGCGACAAATGATAATTATATTTACAGTTACATGTCGATCTGTGTCTCAAACAGATGAAAAATTATTAATGCGGTTTAGTCTTCAGTGCACTAATTTTATTTATTTTTTGTCGAAGACTCTGAAATTCAGATTTTATATTGGATACAGAAGTGATGCTTTGAGACCTTTTTGGAATGTATACACTCGGAAATGTGAAATCTCCCTTTGCTAAAATTACCTTATTTGCATTTTTTCATAACCAAATTTTGTAAGTTTCAATTTATATTCGTAGAATATACTGTATAGTCTCTTTTTATTTATGTTAAAAAGTCTAATTAAGTGAATGTTATGTTTGATTTACATTTATATTATATGAATAGAAATTATGGAAGTCGTAAGTCTAATTAGAATCATCAATTTCCCACCGACCTCTATTTGGATAAAGACGAATAAAAACGAGACCTCTAAAGGGCAACCCTGGGTATTCTGCGTTGTCAGAGGAGGTCCGGACAATTGGGCTGATGTGGATACTTGCATGTTATGGTTTTGGATACTTAAACAAAATGGAATATAATAAAATAGTTGTTATTGCACTGTTTGGTAATTTTAATATGTAATAGAAAGAACGATTTCATTTTTATTCTAAATTTAAGGAAAAGAAAAGAGAGAAATCACATAAAATAAAATTTAGTATATGGTTGCAAAATTTTATTTTCTTCTGAGTTATTTAAAGTCAAACAACCCAAATAACAATGATATTTCCATATGATAATGTTTCACTCCAACTATAACAGATCCTGTAATTGTTAAAAACGAAGATTCAGTTCTTATCTATACCCCATATTAGCATTTCCTGCTGAGTTGGGGTTAAGCGGTCCTGTTGTACAATAATGGAGAATATCCAATTTTTATTTATCTACCCGTATTCGCGTTTATTGCTGAATTTGTCATTTGCTTTATCTAATTGGATAAAATTAATACGTTGATTTTTATGTTTCATTTTTGTTATTTATCAATTAAAATTAAAATTTTATTTTAATATTAAATTATATAACAGCTACAGTAAAATGAAATTATAATCTTAATTAAAAATAGTATTAAAAACTACTTATAGTAATGCACTTAAATTTTCTTCTGTTCAATTTAGGTCCCACAAAGAGCAAGCAAACACAACAAACTGCTATTAAATACATAAAACAAGAAAGTTTAAAAAGTAGAAAAGTCAAAAACAAATTCTAAACCAAAGAAAGAGATAGACATCCCAAATTTTTTATGGTGCACTGAAGTCACACTCAATCAACCCCCAACGCATGTTTTAACAATATTATTATCAGACACAGCTATTAAATAATGTCCATCAAGAGTTGACCCTCACTTTCTTCGATTTGTAAATGAATCCGCAATTATATACTTATAATCCTAACATTTCCCAACCAATTACGCCCAAATATTAAAATTCCATTCATTCTATTTCCTCACACCGACTAAGAACAAAAGAAACATAGTAACCTCATCAAGTTGAGGTTGATGGAATTTAGCAGAAGTTTCAGGTTGTCTAGATCACAACACATACTGCTATCATCCGAATCTGTAACTTCGGAATGTGCGAAAATCGCTGGCTATGAGAGACTCTCCCAATCCATGAGGCTAAGTGGGGAACACGATTTGAGTGAAAAACAGAAGAAGCAAAAAAGGGGTATGGGGCTTCTTGGGAAGGTTTTCTTCTCCTTCACAAGAATCTCCTCTGCCCAAGAGGGTCTCACGGTGGTGAAGCAGCAGAAGAAACGCTCTTCTTGGCTTCCTGATCCAGATAAGCGCTGGCCCATTCAGGGATGGTGATTCAATTTTCTGCTTTTTCTTTTTTAGTTAATAAACTTTTTAATTAATCTTCGAGATTGTAAAAAGTTTATAATTGAAATTTTTATGACTGCTTTTTATATAAAGATTAAAATTAACAAATGGTTGTTAACATAACTATTATGTTCAATGAAATTTGCACATGCTGTTAATAGAATCTGCCTTCAGAAAAATATATGCTTCAAGCTTATTCAAGGTGTTGTGGATGCCTGGGACCTTGGCATTACTATAGCTGATAAGTCATTTGTGTGCACGTAACGAAGAAGTAACAAGCACAACTACTGCATTTTGTTGATGATAGAGTTCTCCAAAATTCCTAAGGATTGCTTGAAAATTTTATAATTGATATTAAAGTCGTAATCTATATACGTGGGATGGCAACGGTTAAGCTACGATAGTGTAATATAATATTCATCTCTCTATCTATCTGCGTTTTAAACAAATATTTTTACTCAATCCATATTTAGTGGTTATGAACATATCTGTACGGATATCTGCATATTTATTTTATACCCATTATTTGTATTTGTTTTAGAAAATAAATATTTAAAAATAACAAATATTTGTACTCAATCCATATTTAGTGGTTATGAACATATCTGTACTTTCTAGATATCTGCATATTTATTTTATACCCATTATTTGTATTTGTTTCAGAAAATAAATATTTAAAAATAACAAATATCGATCGATCGATAACATAAGAGTAACAATGAAATAGATTTACACCTTTTGTGTAAGATTATTTGGTGATCTCCTGTAATAGTATTAATATCTAACTTTAATAAATAACGTTTCATAATTGTTGGGTTTTAACTAGGTAGACATTGAGAATGAGAGTAAAGTTAGGTAAGAGAAGTTCAAGTATTAAACGACAACGAAAAATAGATACATAAATTTTTTTTTAACTTTTAAATATGAAATTGTAAAAAAAGTAACATATGTAATTAAAATAATATATATATATATATATATATATATATATATATTAAGGAAAAGAATCTTCTTATATCAGTATAAGTTTAAAAACTCTTATACCTAATTTGAATCTTTCATTTACCTTACATCTAACGACCAGTGAAGTAATAAATTAAATTATAACCCGTTAAATGAAAGGTTAAAATTTGGTGTAAGAGTTTGTAGACTTACATCAGTGTAAAAAGATTATGTCACATATATTAATACTAGTATTTTTAACTCATGTAATATACGAAAGTATTTTATCAAAAATACAAATTTTTAAAAAATTATTTTAATGAATTAAATATTTATAATGTATATAAATTTTAAAAGAAAGAAATAAAAGATACATGGTCACAATAAAATTTTATAATAAAAAAATATATGTGTATATAAAAAATTATATTTTTTTATCCGAAGAAAAAATTAACAAATAAGAATTAATAATATTTTTTTATATTTTATATCTTTTTAAAAAAAATTGAACGTAAATAAATGGTAAAAGTAATATTATTTAGATTTAATAGATTATAGTTGTGCTTATAATACACATGTTGCATAAAAAAATATTATTTTAAATTAAAATATAAAAAATAAAATTAAAATATTATCAATAAATAAGCTTACAATAATAATGTGATTGTAAAATTTATAAAATATTTACAATATATTTATTATTTATCATTCACTTTATGATTTAAATACCAATATAATTTTATTAACAAAAATATTTGTGTGAAAAATATTTTAGATGTGTTTCGTATATAAATAATATTTAAAAAAAAAGTCAATCTCATATCAACTGTGTAATAATTAAATTATACTAGCCTAATTAAATAATATAAAATAGTAAATAAATTTTCTATTAAAAATATAAACAAAAATCAATTTGTTAGTTTACTTTATTATTAAATATATTTTTATATTAATCTTATATAATTACACACAAGTATAATAATAATACAAAAATTTAATACATAGTTATAGAACAAAATTCAAGTGTGTGTATATATATATGTGTGTGTGTTAGTCTAAAAATTCTTACACCTAATCTACACATCTCATTTAACTTACATCTAACGGCTACTGAATTAATAAATTATAACCTGTTAGATATAAGTTAAATGAAATGTTTAGATTTACATATTTATCCACAATGGATAGGATATTTATCTGCTATATAGGTACAGATATAGGTGTGGGAAAAAATTCAAAAATTTTAATGAAGATGGGTACGAGTATGGGTATCTAAGTACCCACCTCTCCCCGTACCTGTATATATATATATATATGCTTTAACTTTAGTTTAAAAAAATATGTTATATATCCACTTTCCATTGTTAGTACTTGAATTTCTCTACCTTAACTTTACTCTAATTCATTAAAACATAACAACTATAAAACGTTATTCATTAGAGTTAGTTGTCAATGTCGCCGCAAAAGGTCACCAAGTGATCCTACATGAAGGACCACCATTGTGCATATCTATTTTGTTGTCGCTTTGTCGATCGATCGAATCTCACACAAGATAGAGTCATCGGCGACAAATAACTTGTGTGTTTAGTTTCGTTTCTTGTTTCTAAAAATTTTAGTTTATAAAATTATTATATTAAGATACATTTAGCACTTGTGATATTTAAATATTTATTTTTATCTATATTTGTATCTTATTTAGCAATTACATATTAAATTTTTATATTATTACACTACTTATATGAAGGTATACAAACATATTTTTCTTTATGAATATTTTTTTTCTCAAACAAGTGATGATAATGGATAAAAGATGAGTATGCGAGTACCTAAAGGGTACAGGTACAAAGATTAATATTCATACCTGTGTGGGTATGGGGTTAAATATGAGTATTTTTTTAAAACGTGAATGTAAAAATGAATACTATAGTACTCTACCCATTGTCATCCTTAACTGCGACTAAAGCTACTGGTGAAACTGCTGCTTCCGCTCAAATAAGCCCTCATTTTGGTTTTGGATAAATAGATGTAACTCCACTAAATTGAAAAATTGAAAAAGTGTGTGTTTTATAGGATATCTTTAGAGACGTAATTTGGAGGAAAATGAAAGAGATGCTACTTTCTTAATATTCTTTAAATTAATATTTTTAAAATAACAGAAATAAAATAATAAATGTACATATGTTTGATGTCTTAATATATTTATTTATCTTTACAAATATCATTTTAAATTTTAGAATAAAAATTATTTTTATTTTTTATTTTTTGAAAAATTAACTCTCACACAAACCTTCAAACGGAATTTTTTTTAACACAACAAAGATCACGTTTAATATTAGTAGGTGTTTGTAATAACATACACGGGGGCGCCGGCGAATGCGAGTTGGAAACCACAACGTTTACATATTCTGGGCACAAATTTGTGCTAGTCAGACAGTGAAAGATGTTTAAGATTAATTATTAGTTTTTTAAAATAAAATATTTTTTTGTAAATATTAATTTTTTATATAATAAAATATAAAAAATAAGGATGTGTGTCAAACAAAATTTATTTAAGGATTTATCGCGTAAAATAGTATTTTGTAGAAAACAAAAATATAATTAAACAAAATATATATACACACTTGACACAACTGGAATGGTGGTGACTGCATGGTCTCAAATCAACCAAAGAAATTCTCGGAGATGACAAGCAAAAAAAAAGTGTAATTATATCACAACTTTTTTATAAACTAATTTATATATTATTCAACTTAAGATGATGAATACCAAAAAGAAAAGTATATTAAAAAAAACGTTTCATAAATCTTTTGAAATGTTTTTTTAACAACTTCCAACAGAAAATGCAAACCAATATTAAAAATGATCAGAAACATACTCAATAATAAAAAGCTACTCCAACATAGAAAGTAGAAAGATCACATTAATAAAAATATTTGAAATATGCTTTTCTTATTAGGTGAAGTCTTAGTTTTTTTTATCTCAACGAGAGATGGATTCCTTATTAAAATTTTATAATTATTATTTCATATAATAAATTTACTTATTTGAATTATCTTGTATAAAATATAATAGTTAAATTTTTTTATCGAGTTACTAATATAAAAATTTATATTTAATAAATATAGTTCAAAAATTTAAATTTACTTTTCAAAAATCGAATATCTTTTATTTACATAGTATAACAAAATATGTATATATTTTTAAAGAGATTATCGCTTATTATCTTCCATTTTTTCCCTTAGTTGTTTGACAATGCTAACAATTATACATATTTTACTCGAGAGATTAAACTGAAGTGTTTACACAATGTTATAAATTATACCAACTAAAATTACTAAATTAAATGAGAAGAAAAATAAATGTTTTGAGGTGCATTTAAAGAAATAGAACCTGATGGTTAATATTAACTGGTTATGAATAAAGCAATTCTTTAATGTGTCTAAAAGGAGTGAAATCTATAAAATTTAACCATCTTAATATTTTATGTAGTCACATACTATAATTTTAACATTCTATTGAGCACAATAAAAACAAACATAAAATTGAGACAGCAAAATCATATCAATGAGATATCAGAATCACTCGGAAGTTTAATTTCACACGAAATAAAGATGCCACACTTCAACAAGCAAAAATACAACAGATCCGGGTGGATTCGAACCACCATCCTACCAAAGCACAAGGATAATGCTCTGATCGCTCTCCCGTTTTGAGCTTACAGATCTATCATGTAACAAATAACGACCATCCATAAAAAGTATCAAGTAACGGAACATAAAATTAACAAAATAAAACATCAAAGATTAGCTTATAAACATCACTTTTTTTAAACTTCAATAACTTATGAAATCCAGTTCATATATAGGAATAATAAACTGTAAACGGGAATTTATACGGAACAATTCGCAAAGACATATTAACAGAGAAAAAGAAACATAATAGTATCTACATAAATACTGATACAAACATGCAGGGCATTTTACAGGATATACAAAGAAAACGTTTCAACAGGGCATTTTCAATAATATTAAATTATTATAATATCAGTTTTAAGCAAATATAATTTACAAATATTCGCTTTAAATATACAAAATATAATATTCCAAAAGGATATATCGTCAATAATTTTCAAATTACAGCCCAGTTACTACATGTTGGTAATTTCAAATTAAATAATGTTAATACAAATAGAAATATTTAAAATTACATTATAATCCAAGTTTTTGGTGCTGCACATTCCTAAAATTTTCAAATCAGAAAATTAATAATTGCAGTTCCCGGTTTTACTATACCATTATTTTCTTTCATCATGAGTATACAAACATTGTTATAAATTTATTCAACAACATTCTAAATAAGATCCAAGAACTGAAGAAAAGATATTATCTTTCAGTTCCAATGTAAATTCAAAAGTATATTTTTTAACTAAAAACAATTTGAAAAATAATATTCCTTTATAACAAAGGGATAATCACTTATTTTCTTCAATAAAAATTATTACAGTTTATGCTTTTACGGTTAATTACAGAAGAACTAAATATCTATTTTCATAATAAGTTTACATTTAAAAAGCGTTAAATTTTGAAAATAAATAGAAATAGTTTTGCTTTTTAATAAATTAATGGAAAAGACTGTTCAAAAAAGAGATTTTCAGCTGACGTAACAATTTTTCGAACAAATATATACCAAAACATTAACACATCATTTTATGCAAATAAATGCAAATAAAATTACATTCACTAAGCACGAATTTACGGATGGCTGCCTTAGCTGTGCCAAGATTCTAACAATTTATTCAAAAAATGGCCTTCACTTGACATTTAAAATTTAAAAAGTCAAAAAACGTTAAAAGAAAAAAAAACCCTTACTTTTAAAGGCATTACCTGCAAGAAAAAACAAACCATGAATATTGATCTGCCCACTTAGGGCGATAACACATGCCAAGTTTCTCTAAATTTAAGTCATTTGCGACGTAATTAAATCAAACTACTTCCTGTATCTAAAAAAAAAGTCGGAGAAAACTATCGACCATTCGAGAAAAATCATATGAACTAAATATCAGCTGAAGTGGTAACATTTCAAAAAGTCAACTTCAAAACACTCGAGATCTCGAAATGGAATAAATTTTGAACAAATCTCGCTACCATGATGGTAAACTTCAACATTTTGAGTGAAAACATCCGAAATACTAAAGCCGCAGAATCCATGAGTTGTAAAATAATAACTTTAAAACATTCACACTACTAAAAAAAGGCATGATATGAAAATATTATGTAGCTGAAAATCATAAATCAATCAATCTTTGCTCAAAAGGACCGAAGTTATCTTTCACCTTACTAATTGAAGCAGACTAAATCAGAATCATCCTAAACCCATGATATATCTTCGACGTTTCTTCATTAAAATCACTGAAGTTCTTCGAGACTTTCGAAATCAAGATGGCATCTTCATCGTTGATTGTCGGGCTCCAACAGTGCCGAAAGATCCGAGTGAGCATTAAAAATGGTAGTATTCCCGACAATATGTTCTTCAAAATTTACCTAATTCTGCATTACAAATGTTGACAACCGTAGCTGGACTTCTTACATATAAATATATACAGCGATGTTACATATATTGATTGTACAAGGAACCATCTTATCTGGATGATAGCTCGCCAAATTTTGCCAGCTCAAACTATAATAAATTAGACAACAAAATAATAGAGTTCGAGTTCACAACTCAAAAACACCAAGCAATATATTTAATTAGGGTTAAGGGAAGCCGCAAACAGATGATATTTTAATACAGTGCATAGATTTAACGAATAATACACACTACAGTGTGAGAATTGATTGTTTTATACTACGAACCGTATAGAAGCTTATGCAAGAATAATTATAAACCGAAAAAATTGAACACAACAAAACCCCCCAGTTTACCTTCCGCAATATAATTATTGAGAAACTCCACTTAGCTTTTTCTGCCAATAACATTATCAAAACTTCGGATTAATATTAATTAAATTACCAGCTTGTTAAATCAATTTCATATAACTTAAAAACTTTAGATGATAGAATTTAACTAAGGCGTTGCAGCCATTTAAAAGAAATAAGCGAATTTATGTTTCTGCAGTAATTCTACCGTTATGAAGTAAAAATGACTTGATTATTACTGTATAATTATGTAATATTAAAAACGCAACCCTTCCGAATGTAAATTTATAGATAATACCTCATTCAATTGGAGTGGGAGCGAATCCGCTGATGAATCCATCCCGGCCAGTGTCGTAATATGGAGTCGAGCGACAGATAGGTAATAATAAAAGGCATAACACGAAAAGGAGGAGAGCACACACCACACGAGGGAGAGATCCCGGGCAACTCCCGTGCGATCTCTCCCAAAACCAATAAAACTTTTTTTATTAAGATTTTGGTTGACCTGCCATGCAAGCGCACCTGTCATGGCAAAGGTCGGATGACAAGATCGCTCAGGACTAACCACCTCAAACGATTAAACGTATTGAGGTAATCCATCCTGAAATCTTCTACATCCACATACTTTCTCCCTCTCAGCTTCACATCTTATACTAAATTTACAACATCCGAGATCTGCAACATATGTATCTAGCCGGAAGAATACATAATGCTTCGTACAAACACGAGAGGTCTGAGACTGAAGTATCCATGACTTTCAACAAAATAACAACGCCTGGATCTATTGGTGGGTCTGTGTTGCACTCATCGATTATCCACCGTACCTGCAAAACAATACCTCAAGAGCCTTGGCAAAGGCTAGACCAAACGACTTTCTACGAAACAGATTCCAAAAGCAAGACGAACATGAAGGGCACACCTCTGTAATGAAGATCTGAGCCTCCAAGCTTCAGATCTATGCAAGAACTGCAATAAAAGTTACAAAAATAACAAAATCAAAACACTGATAACGTAGATCAAACCCTATACGAAGCAAAACCTTTGATCCAAGGTTGGTCGTACCCGAACAAAACCACCATCGTCGTGTAGATCTTGAACAGATCCACACGGATCCGGTCAAGAGAAAGGTGATGGGAGTAAGGAAAAGAGTAGATCTAAATTTGTAGCAGGAGATGAACGGTCGCAAAAAGAAGAGATAAGGAACTCTGGGAGGCGCTGATTGAGAGAAAAGAAGGAACCCTAACCTTTCTTTTATAATGGATTTTGTGGGATGGACGGTTGAGATTACTTGTGTTGACGGTGAAGATTTGGTGACGTGTAACATTAGGTGCGGCTCGTTAATCGGTGGGGCAAAGCTGTTTGTTATCTGTCTCTTTTCAAAATAATAGAGGGATATTTTTGTAATTATATTAGCTTTATGGCGGTGTTTGGTTTGGTGTTTACCACACAAGGACGGCAAGATGCGCTGGCTACAGAATAATTCAACGTTGCGTGGTCGTTACGCACAAAGTCGCCGTGCGTTATCTGTACGCTCGGAAATAATAATAGCCAAACAAAAAAAATAGTCGGTTTGTCAAGCATGAGACATTGCCTGTAGTTTCCTGCTAGTGAGGTTTAGAATAAAATATTTTAACGTGTTTCTCATTTTTTTATAATTATAATCAGATATCAGTTTTCATGTATTTTATGTATGATTTTTTTAATGTTTAAATTTATAAATACGGGGAAAGAAAAGTTTATAGCCTCTTTATTCAAATTTAAGAATTATATTACGAAGGAACAATCATTCTTTATACACAATTAACCTATAGACAAATTTATAATATAACAGCAGAATTTGGTATAAAATTTCATACTAACACAAAATTAATTTAAAACTAAAAAATTAAGTAATAAAAAAGAAATGAATGAATTTGAACTTATAAAAATTTTAAATAGACAATATAAAAATCATAATTTAACATAAAATAATATTTATAGGCGAGATAGTCATTATAAAAAACCTTATAAACAAAAATCAATAGGTAGGCATCACCCAACCCACACATACAACAACAAAAATTATAAGATAGCAAATAAAAAATCTCATAAAGAAACGATGCTATAAATTGTGGAGTACAAAATACAATAAGCAAATGATAATAAAAATTTATCAATTAGATTACTCTCCAAGATCAAACTCTCAAATTGATGAATTTTGTCTAAAATCAGAGTTATAAAATTATAATTATTTGATTCTACAACTAAAGGTAATAATTAAATACCAAACAAATGTTTTAATAGACATCGTCAATAAATTAGAAGATCCTCTATTAAGGGATAAATTTTTACAATAACTAAATGAATTAATATAGACGAATGAACAAGTAATTCAATAAATAAATAAAAAATATAGAAATGAAGGATATTCCGACAAGGTTTAAACAACTTTGATATCATAAAATATTTATAAAATAAAATTAAAATCTTATAATAATAAATTTTAGAGTTAAAATCAATAGCTTTAAAATAAAATTAAAGGGATAAGGTTTCTAAGTCTCTCTTTGAGGTTAAAATTGAATGTGAAGATACTAGAAAATCTAAGATAAAACTTGATGACAAAGAAATTTTATTTTTAATGCATCACTTTCAGCAGGAAATAGCAAAGAACCAAGAAGGGAATAACTCTATTCAAGCTTTTCTTGGTATCAACCTTGGTCACCCTTGGCAAACTCTAGAAAGAAATATTTCTAGTAAAGAACTCCCCAAATATTGATAAATTACTAGTTTAGATAGTTCTCAGAATGAAGGATATAGTAAGCTTGTTAATTGTCAATCAATAGAATGTATGCTTAGGTTATAGCATTTTGCATATGCTAACTAAATCTCAGACTACTTTCTTATGAACTACTTATTTTGGAACTACAAAGAAGATGGAGGAAGGTCATTTTCTAGACTTGTAAATGACCTAATATTTATCTATAATCTGGACTTTATAGCCCTCTTTAAACTTAGAGTTAGTAAAGATAGAGCTTACAACAAAATAAATAATCTGAAATTAGATGGATCTATTAGGGTTGAGGCTATTGGTTTCTCAGTGAGAATTTGGTGTGTCTGGAATACTAGAAAGGTTAGTATCTTTGTTTTACACAAAACTAAATTCACCATTCATTTGAAAGTTAGGATGCAAGGGCATGAGTATTGGGTGTTTTCCTCTATCTATGCCAGCCCTCGGGAAAATATGAGATCTAAGTGTTGGAAAGAACTAGTTGATTTTAGCCCATCTCCCTTGTGTATGATTGGGGATTTCAATTATGTATTATATGATAATGAAAAAATAGGAGGAAGACTTGTTAACCCTAGCTTTACAAGAAAATTTGATGAATGCCTTTATGAATGTATGTTACATGATTTGGGTTTTAAATGGACCTTTTTTATCTGGCAAAGAGGCCAACTTAAGGAGAGATTAGATAAGGTTGTTGCTAATGATAGTTGGCATACCATCTTTCATAATAGCTCTATTTTCCATATCCCTATCCCTAAGTCTGACCATATGGGTCTTTGTATGAAAATTAGGAAAGAAAATACCTCCTACAATAAGAATAAAAGCTTTAAATTCCTGACTCCCTGGTTATCCTATAGTGACTTTCCCAATCAAGTCAAGAAGTCCTGGATCAGTCCTAGTTCTTAGACTGATAATGTATCCAGATTTAGAGATAATATTTTTGAGTGAAATCATAATATTTTTAGGAACATTTTTAAAAGAAAAAAACGTATTTTCAGTAGGATAGAGGATATGTCTCATAAGTTGACCGTTCGGGAGAATCCTTATCTAACCAATCTTAAGGTGTCCCTTTGGAAGGAATGTTATTTGATATTAGATCAGGAAAAGTGCTATTGGTTTCATCACCATAAAGTTAATTGGCTTAACCTTGGGGAAACAAACACTAAATTATATCATAAAGTTGTCATGATCCGCAAACATAAAAATATTATAGAAGCTCTAAAAGATATTAATCATATGTGGGAATATGATACTATTAAGCTTAGAAATCTGGTTATTCAACACTTTCAGAACCTTTACCATGATTCCAGTCCATCTGATTTTATCCTCTCTAGCTCATCTTGCTTTCCTCCTCTTAGGGATATTAATAAAGATATACTTCAGGCCCTGTGACTATTAATGAAGTTAAAATAGCCTTGTTTAGCATAGGAAATTTTAAGTCTCCAGGTTCTGATGGATTGCATGCTCTGTTCTTTAAAAATTAATGGACTTTTTTAGCCAAGTTCATTTTTCAGTTTGTGTTGGATATTTTCAATAATCTTAAAAATATTGCTAGTGTTAATCAAATTGTTATCACCCCTAATTCCTAAGATGCCCAACCCTGAACATGCTTCACATTTTATACCAATTTTCCTTTGTAATGTTAGTTATAAAATCATTATAAAGTTAATTGTTAATAGAATTAGAGATTCCTTACCTACTCTGATTTTTTATAATCAGAGTAGTTTTGTCCCTAGAAGGCAAGGGATTGATAACTCCCTTATCCTTCAAGAGTTTATTTATTCTTTCTATAAAATTAAGACTAGATCAGCCTTTATGATTATTAAAATAGATTTAGAGAAAGCTTATGATAAACTAAGATGGAAGTTTGTCCTAGATAATCGTTTAAAGGCTAGTATAGATCCTTATCTCTCTAACCTTATCTATGAATGTATTTCATTTCCCTCCATATTTCTGAACTAGAATAATAGTCCCTCAAAAACTTTCTAGCCCACTAGAAGGATTTGTCAAGGAGACCACATTTCTCCATACTTGTTTGTTTTGTGTTTAAAGAGATTTGCTCATTTAATTCAAGATAAAATTCTCAGTAGAGACTGGATTCCCTTCTCTTTCAGTCCCTAAGTTATCTCATTTATTTTTTGTTAATGATATTATCCTGATTGTTAGATATGACTTACAACAAGCAAATATCATTGAATCAGTTCTTTCATCTTTTTGTTCAACATCTGGACTTGAAATTAATTTTAGTAAGTCTTCTATATATTTTTCCAAAAACACTAACTCTATCCTTTGTCAGTCTATTAGTGAAAATCTTAATGTTAAAACCTTTGTTCAGTTTGGGAATTACCTTGGTATTCCTATTAGTCACCTTAAACTTAATAGACAATATTTTAACCATATTGTTGATAAGATTAAGAAAAGATTAGCTACCTGGAAAATGAATCATCTTTCTATGGTTGGAAGGGTCTCTCTTGCTTAATCCTGCCTGTTGAGTATACCTGTCTACTTTATGTAATATCTGCTCCTCCTTACTTTTATCTGTGATGATATTAACAAAATCTGTAAAAACTTTATATGAGAATTTTTAGGGAAGAGAAAGTGTCATCTTATATATTGGGATATGATTTGTAAACCCAAAAGTGATGGAGGTTTAGGTTTTAAGGATGTTAAAGTCCTCAATAAAGCATATCTTCTAAAGCTTTGTTGAAAATTGATTAACTCTCCTAATAATTTATGGGCTCAGATTCTAAAGAACAAATATAAATTTATTTTGGGCCACACTCTTTCTATAGATAATTCTCCTAAGGTTTCTCACCTGTGGAAAGGTTTGGTCTCAGTTTGGCCTGTTTTCTCTAAAGGTCTAGGCTGGGTTCTGAGGGACGAGGCCACTATAAAATTCTGGACTGATTGTTGACTCCCCCGCACTCAATCTTTTTCTAGCCTTTCCTATTTTCCTTGTTTGGAATCTGATATGGATAAACATGTGGCCTTATACTCTTCTCAAGAAGTCTGACAGTTAGATGATATTATTTCTTACTCCCTAGTTAGCCTTATGATTTAATAAAACAGCTGCCCCACCTTCTGGTTCTGGTGATCAGGATCTGTTCTATTGGAAGTTAACAAATATTAATTAATTATATCGTCAGGCAACCGTACCTCGGTTAATTAATAGATCTATAGGGTAAAACGAGACAAAGGATTAGGTGGATCAAACCAATCTTTCTCTTCTAATCGTTATTAAATTAACAAGTAATCGTTATTAAATTAACAAGTTCGTAGGCTCCTAAAGCTTTCTTAAATTAATGTCTTGCATAACCATTGGGGATGTTAATTTGGAGAAAAGAATATTAATATTACATGACCATTGAGTATTAATAATATTCGTATAAATGATTGATAATCACAAGAAAATCAGATTTAGAGTTAAACGAAAAAATAACATAAAAGATTGAATGAG